GCCACAAAGACACATGCTTCCAGTGGTTGAAGCATGGCCGAAAACATTGTTACATGGGTCATCGTCGATTCTTGGACAAACATCATGCATTTCGAGATGATGAGCGATCTTTTGATGGTACTAAAGAAAAAAGAACCGGATCTAATCCTTTAACTGGTTTTATGGTATTGGATATGTTATATGGCTTCAATATCACTTATGGAAAGATGAGTACTAATCCAGAATTACCATATAATTGGAAGAAAAAAAGCATATTCTTTGAATTACCATATTGGAAGGATAATCTAGTGCGTCACAATCTTGATGTGATGCACATTGAGAAAAATGTATGTGAGAGCTTGCTTGGAACACTACTGAATTTAGAGGGGAAGACAAAGGATAATCTAAATGCACGTCTTGACTTGAAACTTCAAGGTATAAGGCCTGAACTCCATTCCTTGAAGTTTCAAGTCAAGACGCACATTTAGATTATCCTTTGTCTTCCCCTCTAAATTCAGTAGTGTTCCAAGCAAGCTCTCACATACATTTTTCTCAATGTGCATCACATCAAGATTGTGACGCACTAGATTATCCTTCCAATATGGTAATTCAAAGAATATGCTTCTTTTCTTCCAAATATATGGTAATTCTGGATTAGTACTCATCTTTCCATAAGTGATATTGAAGCCATATAACATATCCAATACCATAAAACCAGTTAAAGGATTAGATCCGGTTCTTTTTTCTTTAGTACCATCAAAAGATCGCTCATCATCTCAAAATGCATGACGTTTGTCTAAGAATCGACAATGACCCATGTAACAATGTTTTCGGCCATGCTTCAACCACTGGAAGCATGTGTCTTTGTGGCATGAAGGGCATGCATACTTCCCTTTAGTACTCCACCCTGACAAATAAGCATAAGCAGGGAATGGGCGGCCCTTGACGGTACTGCCTCCGTGCTTCCTCGACCACCAAGCCAGTTGCCTCCTCCCTGCTCCTCTCTTTTATCTGTTGAAACTCTCGATTTGGATCTCTAAGTTAGGCAGGCATTGTCTGTAGATGTTTGGATTTTAAACTTGATGGTCATTATGTGATGCTTCTAGATGTTCTAAAGCTTTTGATTTAGACATTGGGATTTTGTTAATACTGGTTACTTTCATGAAGTTAGGGTTTAAAATGCTAATGTGTAAGCAAATCTCAAACGTGTCTACCCTAGTAAGGGAGTTTTTAAAAAAATATATATGCATATATATATGGAGTTCATCAACTACCTGTAATTGTTATCAGTATCATTGTTGGCAACTTGATTGGAATTATAACATTAGCACTTCCTAGAGGAACAGGTTTGAGCTTTGATGCTGAATCATGCCACTTGCCTAAAGATGTACTGTTGAGGATATCACTGTTTAGATCTTTACTGAGTTGGTAGCAGAAGTCCTTATTTATAGTCTGTTTCCAGCTGTTGAGTTAATGCTTCTTTGAGTTTTTAAAAAAGTTAAATATTTTAATAAAAATAAATTTATGTTCACTCAAAATAGTGGGATTATTGTCACGGCAAAAACACGAAGCTTTGCAAGTGGTAGAGATGGAAATCCGGTCTCTGGAGATGTTACATTTTATGGCGTGTTAACAGATATAATTGAGTTAGATTATTTGTTTGGGAAGAGGGTCGTGCTATTTAAAGGTGATTGGGTGTCACAATCAGGGAAAAGACAAGATAAAGATTGCACATTAGTCAACTTTACACGATTAATGAAAGATGCTGAGCCTTTTGTGTTGGCTTCTCAAGCAGAACAGGTAATGTATGTAGAAGACTTGAAACACAAAGATTGGCAAGTTGCTATCAAGATAAATCCGAGAGATTTTATGATATGAATGCGGGGTCTTCCGTGGACAATGTGAAGGCATACTTGCAGAGTGTTGTTGTGAGAACCCAAATATATAAATCAAATAAATAATTAAATAATAATTATTTTACAAACCTCAAATATTTTGATGGTGAATCTTAAGGTGCAAATTAAATATTTGGAGGGTCTTTTAATTAATTTTAAAACCTAAAATAAATTTATGGTGAAAGTCTTTAATTTAGAGGCAAAATTTATTATTTTTTAAAAAAATAAGTGACAAATTAGTAAGCATATTTTAATCTAATAATATTTGTATGTTATTTAAATTAATTGAGAGAGAAAATAAAATAAAACAAAAGATAATAAATTAGAGCTTTTTGGTTAGATATATATATAGGAACCCTAGGTTGCCTAACACAATTTATACAGCAGCAGCCTAATACAATTTATACAGCAGCAGCAGCAGCCACGAGAGAGAGAGAGGTTGAGAGAAAAGAAGAAGAAGGAAAAAAAAAAAGGGTTGCAAACAAGGAAGGATTTTTAGGTGTATGGTAGGTCTTTATCTTTCTTCTTCCTTTTATTTTTGTTCTTTACCCTTACTCTATTATTATTTTGTTCATTGATGGAGAGGTATAGGTTTATGTATTTTGTATATATACACTGTTAAGAAACCTAAGGAAATAAATTATGTGTAAAGAATGAGAGAAATTCTTAGTTTAAAAATTCTGTACAAAACCACAAACTTTGAAAATCAAGGAATCATATCAAAAGGATGAATTTTGAACTGAAATTTTTATAGTGGATTAATTACATATTATATCTGAATTTTCTCATAATTTTTGAGAGTCAAAATCTATATTTACTGTTGCGTTCAAATCTGTCTAGAAAACTGGTTTAAAACAGCAACTTCGAAAATGTCGTTCTCTTGGGTATAAATCCGAAAATTATCAAATTAGCATCATTAGAACCGGTTACGAGTCTAGTATCTTATATTTTTTTCCTTGAGTTGATTGCTCATGTATACTAAGAGAACTATTAATTTCTTTAAAGTGCTGCAGAAAACAACCTGTTTGGATATAATTAATTGTAAATAATTATTTTGATAAGCAAATCAAGTGAAACCAATTGGATTTGAAACTTAGGATATATTAGTTGATATCTGGGAGGTTTCAGAATTTTTCAAATAGTGTGGAGTGAGTTTTGTAATTTTCAAAGTTAGCAAATAGATTGAGAAAGCTTGTTTAAAATTCTGTTTTATTTTAAAATTACTTTTAATTAAGTTTCGATTTGAACCCATGTCTTGAGTAATTTTAGACCTTGAAGAACATGAGCTTAGGTAACATTTAAGAGTAACGGTGAGTTAGGTTGAGCCGTGTTAGTGCGCTTTAGTTTGAGGTTACTTAGTTCTTATTCTTTAATATTTTTAAATTAGTAGTGATGTGTAGTTTTCATACTTAATTCAAGGCACTAGCTGGACTTTTATACTCTATTCGAGGATTACATTGTTCCATTTTCAGGTGAGTAGTTTCATGCTACATATTTTTATAAACGTTCCCCTGCCATAAACTGTTAGAAAATTAAATTGTTGTTTCAGGACTAAACTGTTTTGATAAATTATTATATTATCAATGTAATAAAATTATTTCTGAAACATGTGTGAACTTGGCATACTGTAAACTATTTGTTTTGGTCGCATGTTTATAATGGTGAACTACCATATTTGCGAAACTGATGTGTATTGATTATTAGGACCATCTGTATATTTTAGTCTAGGGAAATTATTCCACTATGTGTGGTGACTCTGGCCACTAAGGAACAGATTCGGGTTGGGCCGTGATAACTCTAGTGCTCAGCGATTGTAAGGAAAAGACCTAGGTTAGGTTAGGTGACCTTCAATCGAATCGCCTTAGAGAAAAGGCCCAAGTTGCCACCCTGAGGATGACTCTTAGTTCAGTATTGGATCCAACGGGACTTATAGCCTTGAGAACTGTGTGACATGTTACTTGTTATTTCTTGATACTCAGAAAATTATTGGTGTTCACGTTGTAATCTATTTTAAGTGTAAAATGTCGTTTATCATGTTCTTGGGAGACATGAGTATTTTAACTGTTGAACTGTGAAGCCTTCTTTTTGAAACAGATTCTCTTTACCAAACTGTGTGTCAATCTAGTTTTTGTGATATATATCTTATTTTGGAATTGAACCATGTTTTCAAAAGTGTATTTACTATCCATGTTGCAGCTCACTGAGCTATCAGCTGACTTAGTTGTTTATCACTTTCAGGTGTTAAAAAGACTTAGAGTGGACTCATGGCGTAGCGGGGACTCAATTGCATGGACCTCTAGGACATTCATTATTTTCTTTTAGCTTGTTATGTCAGTTTTGTGCATACATTGTGGTGGGATTTTATTTTGAATTATTTTATTTTATAGGCGATTTTGTTCCATTTAGTAAATATTTTTGGAAGTTGGTTATGGCTGGTTTTACCATTTATACGTGTGACTTGTCACTGGTGGGTTTTGATTTATTTATTTCTGGGCTATCATCACATTTATTCTTTGTGATTTTGGGTTCATGTATAGGCTTGCATGTGCCTTGGGCTAAGTCCCTGTGGGCCACGGCCGGTCATACCCGAATTTGGGGTGTGACAACTGTATGCAATACACAAAGTGGTGATGGGGACAATAATTTTGATTTGGTTAGGACAGACATGTCTGCTGCAATTGTAGATGCACCACTTTCTCAGGTCTTGAGAGACAACGATGTTCATGATGATGGAGATAAGGAAGAATTAGATCTTATGTGACTGTTAAACTTGTTCAACATTGCTAGTTATTTATATTTGAAAACAATTTTATAGTTTCATTTTGCTCTCTTTCTTTATCATTGTTTTTGTTAATTTAATTGACTGTTTGAAGAATGAATAATGCGTTTTTAATTCTACTATGTGATTTTCATATGTGGCTACAAAATATTTATTCACTATATGTTACATTTAGTCACTATCAAGATAGCAACGCAATAAAGGTGATTACACAATTTTTTTTTGTTAATTTTCTTCAAGTATTTTGTTCATTTGGAAATAATTTATTTGGATCATTTTAAGTTTACAATTTGATTTATCTATTTTGCTTGAATCATACTAGAATTCATCCATAAAGAAAAAAGCCTATGGACCTATATCTCCGGTTTCGCTCAGGCAATGTTGGTGAGTTTAGTGAGTCAACTCCATCTGAGATTCAGCCAAACTCTAGTCAACTCAATGATAATGCAGGTATGCAAGTTCAAACCTTATAAGATGTCATATTGTTTCTTCGTATATAAGTTATTATTAGTATTATTATTTATTTATTTTTATAACTAGATGGTGCTAGTGGACAAAAGAAAACTAGAGGTCCCACTCAAATGCGTAATATTTGGGGTACTCGTGATGATGAGCGCCTAATAGTCATGTTGGAACAAACTTGGCCAACCTGATGACAAATTGGCAACAAAGTTATCATCGTTCATTGGAACTATTGTGCGTGATGGGAAAAATGCACCACTCACTTACAAGAATTAGCATAAAGTCCCAGAACATTACAAAGATCACATATGGGCACTTGTACAGGTAAATGACACAATATTGTGCAAAGATCACATGTGAAAAATAATGAACATGAGTAACATGATTAAAACAACACTCTTTATAAAAAAAAATTTGTTTTTAATTTTTTATGTGGAAAGATTAATTTTCTATTATTTTACTCTTCTCTCTCTCTCTCTCTCTCTCTCTCTCTCTATAAAAAAAATTTGTTTTTAATTTTTTATGTGGAAAGATTAATTTTCTATTATTTTACTCTTCTCTCTCTCTCTCTCTCTCTCTCTCTCTCGCTCTCGCTCTCACTCTTTTCAGTCAAAGTTTGATCTTCCAAGTCATGCTAGGAATTGGGTTATGAAGTGCTCTAGTAAGAAGTTAAAAGACTAGAAGGTAAACATAAAGAAAAATTATTATAAAAACCACTTGAGTTTTGACCAACAAAACCATTATAAAGATAGTAAAGTTTATGCTAATCAGTAGGAACACCTTATTAAGTATTGGGCCATCGAAGAAGTGAAAGTATACTCGATCTGATCATTATATGTTATTTTACTTGTTACAGTTTGGGCACCATTAATTTACGCATTTGTAATTTTAGGCACAAAGTGACAAAAACAAAGCAAGTTGTGCGGAGCGACAGCATAATCATACTACTGGAACAAAAAGTCTTCCACGTGTTCGAAACGAGCAGGTTAATTCATCTTTTCATGTTTTATATTTAATACGATAATGTATGCATGATGTAACATAATGATATAATTTATATTTTGGAAAATATTATTTTGTTGAAGAATAAGTGGGGACACTCTTCAACACGTGCTCACATGTTTAAAGTATGTTATACAAAGGAGACTGGAACCCCTGAGGCAATGAAAGCAATGATAGTATGTACCAAATAATTATCTGTGCATTTGAACTTGTAAATTAGTTAAAATTCCCACATTATAGTGTTGAGTGATTGAAATGTATATATTAAGTTATGTTTATTGCAAACTTATAGGATGAAATGAATGAGAGGACAACCTTAAATGAAAATTTATCAAATGAGGGCTCAAATGATACATTTGGACAAGTGATGGGTAAATAAAAACATGGACGAGTTCGCATATATGGATTAGGTGTCTCCCCGTCTAATTTATGGAAAAATACATCTAGTCATAAAGCAAACCAAAACACAACAATGGATGCTATGGAAGCTGAAAATTCGGAGCCAGTCCAAAGTTTCCCATGTTCAGCATGCTCCGAATAACTTGACAAACATATCTAATCAGGTAATTTTTTTAATAGAATTTATAAGTTATTAATGTTTTCCTACACTTATATATACATACATATATCTATGTGTGTGTGTTCGTAAAATTAATCAGTTCAAATTTGGTTAGGCCACAACAACTTCTAATCCTCTTGACATGGCAGCTCGACATCAAGCATGGTCTTTGTCATCGATATAAGATACCTCTCTTACTCAGGTACCCACTAAGAGCTAATCATATACATCACATTACTTCCACCTTTATTTTAGAATAGCGTGTGTAACGCCCTCAAAATAAACCCATTATATGTATATCATTGACATGCATTATTTAAAGAAAAACAATTTATTCATTCATTCATCAGAGTATTACTAAATAAAAACATTACATGTAACATCAAATTAAATGCCCTATAGGCTTACATCTTTCCAAGCCATCACTTGGACACAAAATATGAGTTCTAACTCAAATACAAATAAAGCCCTAGGCTTGATTATTCATCAAATAAAAGCAAACAACTAAAGCTAGTCTTCAAAATCCAAAGCCTTCCAAGCTAAGTCCTGGGAGGTAGCTTATCACCTGGACCTGAAAATGATGTTCCCATAAGGGTGAGCCACAGCCCAGTAGAAATATACTAAACCAAATATAAGCATTGAATAAAGCATTAGTATTTAATAGATGGTTAACCAAGATAATCAATTACATTACTATCCAGGGAGGTCTCGGCTACGCGCCTTGCCTCAGGACCCTTCTGTGTGCGGCACTCGAATATGTGCAAGGTGTATCCTTTTTGTATCCTTTTGTTGAGAATATGTGGATCTCTTAAACTTAATGTAAAATCAGGGAAACAGTTAAAATGTACGGGACCTTTATTAAGACCAGTTTCCATCATTCCCATTAAACTAGCATTGTAATTAAGAAAACGAGCATCACGTAAACATAGTAAAACAGAAGTATTTTGACCTACCATGGTTAATGGATTAACACCTATTTGAATTAAACCAATATGCATAAAATTGTAACCATGATCTAGATGTCGTTTGATTAATTTTTTATCAAATAATTGACAGGTTTCTCTAGGTTTTTCTAAAGCATATACTTGTTCAATAGTTTTAACGTGGAGAGTAACTTTAAAAACATTTTGTAAAAAAGAAGTTTTATAAATTTCTTTAATTGGCAGTTTTGGAATATTCCATCCAGAATTAATTGAATCATTTTGTATTTCAACATCTTCTTCATTAATTAAGATTCCTGGATTAGGTATGGAAGGCAAGGTTGTTGACCACCATCAATTCAATAGGCGAGTGATTTACATTATCCAACTACACCATTTAACCAATAACTTTCCCAATTTCATGAATTTAACCAAATTCCCCAATTCCCTTAAATTAATTATACAAATTAATTAATTAACACAACTAGGGTTTCTCCCAAAATTATCAAAGTAACCCCAACATATCATTATACCAAAACTTAGAACAAAACTTATAAATTGGAGTAGGAAATCCCTACCTCGAAGAAATTAACCCGAATGGAGAAGACGGAGATGAAGACCAAAGACCCACGTGCTCCAAATCCCAATTTTCTCAGATTAAAACAAAGCTCTCGCGAAGCTCTACCTTTCTTCCAAAGGAACTAGGGTAGAAGACCACCGGAAATAGATCAAATCTTGGAGAGAAGGTAAGAGTAGAGAGAGAAACTCTCAAGGGGCGGTTTTTAAAAGTTAAGAGATGAAAAGTAGGTCAAAAAGTGATCAGAAAAGTGGAATCACGGACTGATGTAGTCGACTCTACGCTCGAGCGTAGAAAGCCCCGTGTAACAACCCTCATACTGTTTACCGATTAATGACTGATTAACCGCTAATTACTGTTAACCGAGACTGATTTTGACTGATAATTGAACTACCTAAGGTACTGAACTGACTGACTGAAAACTGGAATCGAATTGACTGAGTATGTGTGTGTTAAATTGTGTTCTATCTGTTTGACTGTTTGACTATCTGTTCCTGTTTGTATGTTTAAACTGCTAATTGAAGGCCTTATCGGCGGCCGAATTAGAAATCGACTGATGTTCCGTGACCCTCATAATTAATGTGATTTTACGGTATATTTACCTGAAAACTGTTTAGGTATGATTAAATTAGATTAAAATAAGCTAATTGAAGAGTTGGACTTAATTACCGTTTTGCCATTGTTAGTGGGCCCTTATTATAACATGTTAGAGCCTTGGTATGCTTGAATCAAACATTTTGCTCAGCTCATTTCTTGCTTTTGCCGACCAAGAGAGGAGAGTTAGAGAGAGAGAGAATTGTTCTTGTTGATTGTGCTTGTAAATTGCTTGGTAATTGAAGAAATTGTTGAAGTGATTGCATATTTGAGCTCCCTTCTTGAAATACAAGACTAAAGGTAGCTCCATTGTCTTCTTATTCATGTTTTGAGTGGATTCTTGCATGATTCATGCTTCATTGTAGAACTAAGTCATGTTTTGGTTCATTGTTGTTGAATTGAAGCTCAATCTTTGCATGCATGTACATATATTGAAGTTTTGAGGTTATAGTTCATAATACCTCACATGCATGTCCATCTTTTGGTCATACTCCATGAGTTCATCTAGACAGATCTTCATTTGAGCTCATTTGAGCTAGCATTGAAGCTTTGAAAATGATTTAAGATCATGCATGCCATGTTTGAAAATTGTTTTTGAAATTGGTTTGAAATTGGGTTTGAATAAAACACCCTTGGGCTTTGATTTCTCAAATTGAACCTTGATTCATGTTATTCTATGCGTTTACATGTATCCAAATGTCTTCATTGCCAACAGGTCAAAGCTGAACATCAACGACCTGCCGGACGACGGACTGTGCACATATTTCCTCAGCATAGACACGTGAGACACATTATGCACTCCTGCCAACCTAGGGGGTAAAACAACACGGTACACAACCTCACTAACCTTCTCTAATACCTCAAATGGTCCAATGTATCTAGAACTCAACTTTCCTTCCTTTCCAAACCTGATGACTCCTTTCCATGGTGATACTTTCAAGAATACCATATCCCCCACATGAAACTCTAAATCTCTCCTACGATGATCAACATAACTTTTTTGTTTACTCTGAGCAGTCAATAATCTCTCTCTAATGGTGATAATTTTCTGTGTAGCATCCTCCACCAAAACAGGTCCCAACATTTGCCTCTCACCAACCTCATACCAACACAAAGGAGGCCTACACTTCCTCCCATAAAAAGCCTCATAAGGAGCTACTCCCAAACTATAATAATAACTATTATTATACACAAACTCCATGAGCGGCAAATAATCATCCCAATTACCTCTCCACTCCAAAGCACAAGCCCTCAACATATCCTCAAGGGTTTGAATAGTCCTCTCCGATTTGCCCATCTGTCTGAGGGTGATAAGCTGAACTAAAATTTAACTGAG